TATATTCGATGATAATTCCACCCAGTATTCGAGTTTGATTGTAAGGAGGCCTCGGATATTGTTTAATTGTTCCAAGTTAGCATGATCAATGGTTGCTTCATTAAAAATCCTTGCCGAAAAACCCATTTGGGACAAAAACCGGTCTAAGGGGAAAAGAGTGAAATGCATGCATTCTGATCTAAAGGCTTCGAGTTGAATAATCCATCCTTGTCTTTGGTCGAACACCTGCAAGGGTTAGTTTCGAAATATAGTTGAACAGGGGAGGATCGCACCTTAGTAGTAGTATCGTTTTAGGCATGACACGGTCCAATTACTTGGTAGTTGATTGTTGTTTATCACACCGAGCTTGTAGGATTTCTACTATACGACCGGTATCGGTCCCTAATCGGACTTTGTTCTCGGTTGGTAGTCCTTTTAATAACGGACCCAGAACCCATCTGGTCATCTTCGACTCTTATTTTGGATTGATATCGATTGTGCACATCGGCCCAAGTAATAGTTGGGTACTCGATCAGGTTATGCTTCAGCCGCCGTGAAGCCATCAAGCTTCGTTCGTTTAGACCCTGAGTGAAAACTTGAACAGTCCAATCGTCTGTAACTGGTGGTAGATCCATTCGTTCTATTTGGAAACGAGAAACGAATTCTCTTAGCATCTCGTTATCCTTATGTCTTACCTTGAATAGGTCCGACTTCTTGGTCTCAACCTTTATGGCCCCAGCATGTGCTTTTACGAAAGAATCTGCAAGCATAGCAAAATGCTCCATAGATTTAGACGGTAAATTATGATACCATATCATTGCTCCATTTGTCAGGGTTTCACCGAATATTTTCAATAATACATATTCGATCTTATCGTCCTCTAGATTGTTCCCTTTGATGGAACGTGTGTAAGAGGTGACATGTTTGTTGGGATCGATCGTTCCATTATATTTAAGAATCTCGAACATGCAAAACTTCTTTGGGATCGGTTTAGGAGCCNTGACATGTTTGTTGGGATCGATCGTTCCATTATATTTAGGAATCTCAGGCATGCAAAACTTCTTTGGGATCGGTTTAGGAGCTGCGCTCGGGGGGAAAGGATTTTGTACGAAATTTTTGGAATCTAAGCCCTTCAATATCGGTGGTGCCCCCGGGATCTGATCAACCCTGGAATTATACGTTTTCACTTTTTTGTCGTTTGCCTCGATCAACCTTTCTCCTGACTCTATTCATTTTGTCAGTTCTTCGAGCATCTTAACAATTTCAGGATTAGTCCCTGATTCTTGCTCATTTGACCTTACTATAGCTGGTCCTATTTTGTGGGTGACTTCTTGGGGTGGACTGGGCTCGAGTCTGTTCGGTGCCTGGGTTTGGATCTTCAACTGGACTATTGCTACTTATTGAGCTTGCAACATCTCGAAAAACATATGCAAGCTGATTCTGTTTTCCCCAGCATTTTGGGTATTTCGAGCTGCAGATCGAGTTCCACCATGAATGTTATTTTCAGGGTCGGAACATTGGTTCGCCTCGATGGCCACATGTGAATTAACACCAATTGGCTCTTCGACCCGAGCTCCAATGGGATCAACGAATGGCCTTCCACCCCCAGGGGTTAAGTCGTTGTTCTCATCTTGAAGGCCAGCTTCGTTGTCGATAGGTAGGGCCATTAATTGAGGATTCGTTATTTTTCAACCTGAAATCAAAAATACTTCCAAGAGAAAGTATAAAATGGTGTGTTTTGCAAAGATTCGTACAAAATAACCACTGTTATCCTTAGCCCCACGGTGGGCGCTAAACTGTTTACCCGAAAAACGGATAGAGTTGAATTTATATGTAGTTCTAAGGATACATAGTATAACTTGGCACAAATCGGAAAGTAAGTAGAAATATATTGAGTATCGACTGTATAGAGAATTAAATACAAACTAAATTGAATAGAAAGCTAGTTTATGTACAAGCAAGATGAATCAATGTATAAAGCTCACAAGATGATAATCTCTATATGGATATCAGTATGTTTTTCTCTATGAATATTATGAGAGTGTATTAATGCCTTGATGTTCTCTCCTTACAGAAATAATAGCTAACCCTCTTATAGTGGAGGGATCATACTTTGGATATAATTAAAAATATATAGTGGGGAACCTATGATAGAATAGCTTTTCCCTAATTCCCACCAAGATTCTCTCTCCTTAGTGCGACTGTAACGGCTCTTGTCCCTTGGCTCGATCTTGATTGGACTTGGGATTGGTTGGTCTCCAGATTTATGGCTCGATATTAACTCGAACTCGATATTGATTCGAGTTCAATATCGAATCGGGCTCGATATCGAATCAGGCTCGATATTGGTCGGTCTCTGGCTCTTAAGCTCGATGACACCACTTCACTTCATGGTTCAATTTGGACTCGAGCTCGGTAATGACTTCGAGCTCGGTATTTGATCGGTCCCAGAAATTTAAGTTCGGTAACCTGGCTTCGGATCTCATCCCGATATTACGAAAATGACCTTCGGTCCATTATGTTCCAATCTTGACTAATCATACGAAGGTCGAAACCGGTTTTGACCGTATACAATATGCTTCTTGACTCATAAGTATCTGATTATTTAGATCACCTTAATTATAGGACAGTCTAGAGAATAAATGCGGAAGTAGGGTTTAGAAGATGGGATTACAATTTATCCATTTTTTTAATTAAAAATGTTAAATCAGGCCAATAACATGAAGTTGCGCTATTTCTTTTCAATAGATGGACCGTGTTGTATCTACATGCCAATTTCTCTATTTTAACCGTTTATGTTAAATCTTCATCTGTTGTATCCTTTTTAGAATATTGAGGTTAAATACTCTCTATTTTCTATTTTTAAACCTCACTGTCCTTCTAAAATGTCAACTCAACATAACTGGTTCATTCCGAGGCTAAATTTGTGATGCACATAATCGATCTTACTTCTTATTCTACAACTCTTAATTTATACCATGCTTTTCCTTGTTTCAAGCCTTTGTCTAACTTCCTCGCAAATCAACTAATATGATATCATCTACTAATAGGGATGTACACCATGGGACAAGTAGTGAAGAATGTTTCTTTTTTACATTTGGATGAAAAAACAGATTTTAAAATTTTGATTGTTTTAGTTTTTGTTTTTGCAACTTTTTAAAATGAAACGCTTAAGTTACCAGATAGTCGATAGAATTAAGCAATTTTTATCTGACACTGCATGTCCAGATAATTAAAAATATCCATGATTAAAAAGATATGAATTTTGTAACACCATCTCGATTTTTCCGTCTAAGATACAAGAAGAGGAATTATACTTGAAAAATCCTATGTAGCAAGAATAGCGGAAACCTTTTGGTAATTTCATGTGGCTAGGTAATATGGAATGATCATGAACAAAACATAGACTGGCCAGAAATTATTGATCTAGTTCGTTCTTTTTCCCTGAAGCAGATACACAATGCAATTAAACAAAACCAATGATAATTCAAAGCGCGTAAATACAAACAGCTCTACTACAAAAGGGAAAGTTTATTAAACACAAATATCACGGCAAGATATCCATTGGTGACATTCATTCACGCGAAACCATCACGACTTGCTTTCCAATATTGCGACCAGAGAAGAGACCAACTAGAGCAGTGGGAGCACTTTCAAGGCCATGGGCAACATCTTCCACATAAACAACCTTGCCTGCCTTTATTTGAGGAATGACCATTTCCAAATATTTGGGGTAAAGATGATAGTAATCAAAAACAAGAAATCCTTCCATGCGGATTCGTTTTGTGATGAGGCAAAACAAGTTGTGCACTCCTTCAGTCTGCTCAAGGTTGTATTGCGAAATCATCCCACACACAGCAATACGGCCATAGAGTTTCATGTTCACAAGAACTGCATCAAGCATCTTCCCTCCCACATTCTCAAAGTAGATGTCAATTCCATCAGGGAAGTACCTAATAAGAAACCAGTATTTCCAGTCACTTGTGAATATTATAGAAAGACTTGACAAAACTAGGATGCCTACGAAAACTATCTTCATAATATCATCATACTTTTCACTGAACATCTTTACTTTGGGACTTCCAGATCTAGCCAGTTAGCAGTGGATCCCAGTTTTCAGTTCAAGGAATAAATATCATTCTATGTAAATATCGATGAATCCTTTTACGTGAACAGGAAAAGCTGTTGCTAACTGCTTCTCTAACACCAGGCCATGTTTGTACAATAGGTAGATTGTTTTCTAGCAGGAAGTAAGATTACTCACCTCTTCAAAGCTGCACTTAAATCCTGCTCCTCTTTATAGTTAAAAGCTTCGTCAAAACCAAATTTGCTCTTCAACAGATCAACCTTTCGAAATGAATAAAAAAGAGACATTAAATAACAAGAGAGTTAAACATCATGGTCTATTAAACTAAAACCTCTCTTTCCCCCCCAAAGGCATAACCCACCCAACCCCAACCTTTGGGTTTGATGGTGGACGGAGCACAATGAAGAATGAAGATAGCTTCAACACTATGAAGATCCAACGCAATGGAACTTACCTTTTCTTTGCTTCCAGCACTACCAACAACGTAGCAACCCAGCATCTTTGCAAATTGCCCAACGAGCTGACCAACTGCTCCAGATGCAGCTGAAACAAAGACAGTTTCCCCCTTCTTGGGGGAGCAAACCTCATGAAAACCAGCATAAGCTGTCATCCCAGGCATCCCTGCACACATAATTAATGAGCTCTTCTTTTATATCAACAACACATCCTGCTTCTCTCTCTGACCTACTGATAAATATATCTATTGTTTGCCACAAACTTTAACTTTATACTAGAAACAGCGAGGAAATGATCAAAATGGTCCTTAATGTATGGAGGCTGTTTTATCTTGGTCCTTACTGTATTACCCTTAAAACATATAGTCCTTAATGTATATCAAAAGATAACGTATTTGGTCAATTTGCCCTAAACCTAACAGATTTGTCAAAAAGGGCTGTTAAATTTAACCTAGGCACCCCATGTGCAGCTCACATGCAATTAAAGACAAACGCTTTCCCTTTTTTCATCTTAAAACAGAGATTTGGAGAGGAACAAAGAGCTTCTATGCACAAGAGCTCTTTGAATGAAGAGGTTGTGTCTCTTTCTTTCGTCTCTGCCATAAAAAATGTCTACGAAGAAAGCTATTTGTTGACAATATTAACAAACGAAGCAAATTGTCGGCAACAAGTAGGAGCTTCTCTCTTTTCTGTTCTTTTCTGAATTCCTAATTCTTAAAGTTGCTCTGATGCGAAGGTGAAAGCGAATCCTAATAGAAGGAATTTTTGAAGCCTTTCGACATCATTGTTGAGGAAAACTGATACGAACGGACGATACAAAAGCTCTAATCGGAGTCATATTTAATAGGGCTGACTTTAAATTTTTTGTTTCATTAATCTCTTTCTTGTTTAGTCTTTTTCATTTAACTCGAAAGTCGAAACAAAAAAAATGAGTATTTTATGCCAAATCGATTTCTGTTAAAAGAAAATTCTGAAGCATCATGCAACAAGATTAGTCGAAGAAAAAAAGATATGACGCTTTAACTATCAATGTAGCGCAGCTTTACACCTCAGTCCCAAAGAAGTTGTCATCGGAATATTGCTACTTCATATGAGCGGAAAAATATTGAACATATTGCTTTTGCCTTCAACATTAGGATATGGAGAACAACTATGTATTACGAGTTTGGTTCTCTAAGGCAATTGAAAAGGTATTTATACATCTTCAACATTTTCAATAGAGTTTCAGATGCCGAGGGGCAGAGGCTTATTGTAATGCAAAATGAGTCAAGTCTTATATGCAAAGGCTTTTAGGCAAAATGACCTTTGGTTTATGTAATTGTAATGGTAGTATTTTTCTTTTTGTCAAAACTGTGAAGCTTTAACTAACAATGAAGTGTAGCTTTTTTAAGTTTAAAAATCAGGTGCATTCGTAAATGGTTTTCAGTGAAATTTTATTGTGCAATTGTTTTGGTGCTCTATCATTTAAGTGTAGCTTTTTTAAGTTTTCCCGCTTTTTTGATGATTGCACGTGAGCTGCACATGGGGCGCCTAGGTTAAATTTAACAGCCCCTTTTGACAAATCTGTTAGGTTTAGGGCAAAAGACCAAATATGTTATCTTTTGATATACATTAAGGACCATATCTGTTAAGGGTAATACCTTAATACAGTAAGGACCAAGATAAAGCAGCCTCCATACATTAAGGACCATTTTGATCATTTCCTCTAGAAACAACAAAGGGTTCTACATACTTCGTTAAGTATTTTATTTATTTACTAATTTTAATAGGGGAAGGACATACATGAAAATAGGGAGGAGAATTCAGACACAATCTTAAGTCA